TGAGACTCTTGGTGTTTATCCGTTCCTGAGGGCTACGCTTCTGCACAGCCATCTGAGAGGATGTTCAAGAAGAACTTTCATGAAGATAAATCCTGCCAAGGATACACTTTATTTCAAGGAGCTCGACATTTGTAAGTATTACATGTTTTTAAATTGATAGACCCCTCACTAAGAAGCATTCCACTGAACCTGCTCAACAATGTCTGTTTATTCAACAGGACAGTGTAGACATTTTCCAGCCACCTCCATGCAAAAAGTGGCGTGCATAAATCAAAATCAACAAGGAACACAAGACGGAACCAGACAGAGAAGATATTACAACAAATGTTATTAATGCAGCTCTCAAAATGTTATTTTAGTGGCACAAAGGAAACAGCTGACAAATCGTATATACAGTAATAATGTAAATAGTTCATATAATGAATACTTTTTATATATTTGTTCATAATGTCATAATAATGGGAAGTCGTGGCCTAATGGTTAGAGAGTCGGACTTGTTACCCAAAGGTTGCGGGTTCGAGTCTCGTACCGGCAGGGATTGTAGGTGGGGGGAGTGAATGTACAGCGCTCTCTCCCACCTTCAATACCCTGACTGAGGTGCCCTTGAGCAAGGCACCGAACCCCCCCAACTGCTCCCTGGGCGCTGCAGCATTGCCCACTGGTCTGGGTGTGTGTTCACTGTGTGTGTGTGTGTGTGTTCACTGCTGCGTGTGTGCACTTTGGATGGGTTAAATGCAGAGCACTAATTCCTAGTATAGGTAACCATACTTGGCCACATGTCACGTCACTTCATAATGTTCTATATTTATATCTCTATATATGGCTCATTTCTGGGATTCTGTAATATTTTAGTCCCCCAGAGTTCTTAAAGTTGTGGTTCACCAAAATGAATTGTTAGAGGCTTTTCACAATACTTTGGTATGCCCATTATAATGAATAAAAATAATTATTTCATTTTTTAAAATCATTTTTAGCACTTCACTGAGTTTGGACTGTGCACAGTTTCTATTATTTTAGCAATAATGTAAGTATTTATTTAAGTTCCTTTCTTGTGAAAAATACATTTCTAAAAAAATATATATATATTTTCTAAAAAAAAAAAAAAAACGGAATTCAGATGGAAAATGATTATGTTTCAACATTTTATTTTAATCTATTAATATATACAATGCACTTATTTTATTGCTGCCATACATGAGGAGCAGTGGTCATTTTGAGTGAAAAACCTCAACCCCGTCACAAATATTTGTATTTCTTATAAAAATACAACTTGTGACAGGGTTGAGTTATTTACTTAATTTATTAATAATTTCATTAAAAATATATAAAATAGTCATAGTTTCCGTAACTATGTACTTACCAAAACCATGTCAACAATATTTTTTTTATATATAAAAATAGAATTTTTGATGTAATATTCCCACTTAAACTTTGACAAGCATTATCCATCAGAAATTGCACCCACATTTGCAGCAGAAAGACAATGTTGGCCGTGCAGATATGTTGACCCAGAGAGAAGGGGACAGTATGAGAGAGAAACAAAACCAAAAATTTAAACTGAAGGTAGTTTATCCCTTCAAATGTGTTATGGTCTTCAACCCTGTCACACCTTGTCACATTAATTTATTTGGAAAATAAATATTAGTAAGACAGTTAAGAATGAAAGCGTTTCTTGCTGATTACCATCTGACATGTTTAGGACTAAAACAATAAAATTGTGGTTTTAGTTAAACTTCTCAATTAAAATTATTTTTACAAAAATAAAGAGACCACAGACACACACTTTGTGTATTTTTAGCTTCAGTCCTATAAAAATGTGAAAATCATGATATATATTACATTTGTTATCGTCACATTGTTATGAGGGACACATGAGCAGTAGATGTTGGTTTTATAACAAGTTCTGTGGAAAATCCTTTTTAAACCAATCCCATTTTGCTGAGAAAAAAAGTTGAAAATAATAAAAAAGGTCTTTAATGCTTGAGGTGGGAAAATATGATTTTTTTGGAGGTTTGATATGTGCCCAATGATGTGGGCTATTTAGAAAAAAAAAGTATATTCCAAGTTGAAATGTTACAGATAATTATAATATAATATAATATAATATAATATAATATAATTATATTACATTATATTATATTACATTACATTGCATTACATTATATCATATTACATTACGTTACATTATATTATATTATATTATATAACAAATGTCTAGACAAACAGACTGTGAGGCTGTCAGGTGAAATTCAGATCAATGAGTGTCGATCTTATCTTTAATGTCTAACAGATTGTGATAATGTCAGTTAATCTCCATCTTCATTTGTCAGTACAGTAATGCAGCACTAACAAAGTTGCTGTGTTACTCTAATTTGCATTTAATTGAGGGTTAATGCCACTGAACCTCTGGACAGAAGTCGTGTCTGCAGGCAAATTCTCACATGCAAATGTCTTGTCTGGAGTGATTGTATTTAGATTGCATAATACATCAACCTGTGTGTCTTTTGTGCCACACTTGTGACAACTTCCACCAGTGTGGAGTGTAAAGACCACTTGGTCATGGGAGCAATGATGAATACAGCTGAAACACTGCAGCAATCACATTTCAGTTGAACTAAACTGTTTTTTAAAAATAAAATTTTTCTCATTCATGCTCACCAGGCTTTTTATGTAGATCACTGTTTTTTCAGTAAGTGGATTTATAAAATGAAGTGGGCAAAAACTACCCCCTACGCTATAGTTACAGGTAAAAACCTCTTTCCGTCGACCTCTAACCTTTGCTTCCATCTAGAATTAACAAATACATGAACTTTGTTTTAAATTCTATCGGCACTCTGTGGCGCCTCTGCACTGGAAGTGATATGAAAGCAACTGAATGTAACACAATGGCTTTCTACTCTAAAGATATTAAAAATAAGGGAGAAAAAAATGTAATGATCACACTTTATTTTATTGTACTTTAATTTTCTTTGTTCGCAAGTAAAATGACTCCACCACATTGGGGATTTATTAAAATGTGTGTCAGTGGAATTTTAGGCTTTGAAGCATCCTTTGTGAGCTGTGAGGCAGAGAGAGAACTAATTCACTACTATAGCTCCTCTGTGTTTCCTGCTCAAACGCTTATGAAAAAAATGATGAACATGATAAAAATTATCATAAGAGTTATATTAGAGGAAAGTGGAACACTGTGGTGAGATTCATTCAGTTAGGCCTGCAGGATTAACTTGGATCCACAAGAGAAGTCTTCATTGCACTGTACTGAAAGTGTGTGTGTGTGTGTGTGTGTGTGTGTGTGTGTGTGTGCATGTTTATGTGGTTTATGAGGACACAAATTTGTATAATAACATGGTATGACATAGGTATTACAACGAGAAGGTGATTTATGAGGACATTTTCAGTGTCCCCGTAATTCAAAAGGCTTATAAATAATTCAGAATGAGTTTTTTTGAAAATATAAAAATGCAGAAAGTTTCCTGTGAGGGGTAGGTTTAGGGGTAGGGTTGGTGTAGGGCAATAGAAAATACGGTTTGTACAGTATAAAAACCATTACGCCTATGGAGAGTCCCCATAAACCATAAAATCAAACCTGTGTGTGTGTGTGTGTGTGTGTGTGTCCTGTTGTGGCTGGCTGTAAGCCCCTACTCAGACTGTGCCCTAGATAAACTTAGTATCACAACACCACTGAATTATTCGCATCTCTTTCTGCATTGTGTCTAACCATCAGAGTGAATAAACCATTTGCTATGACAAGTTCAGCCCTGTCTACATGAGTAGATGAGATCAAACAACAACTGGGAACAGAGCTAGGCAGAGCAAATTAATAATATAATGAACCATCTTGTATTTTCTAAATGGCTCCCAATCGCATTGGGTTGCTTTGTTACAATGAATAAATACTCTAATGCTGCTCTCCTGCTCTGTAGTTGACTACAGTCTTATGCAAGATTTTTCTAACCATCAGAGTGAATAAACCATTTGCTATGACAAGTTCAGCCCTGTCTACATGAGTAGATGAGATCAAACAACAACTGGGAACAGAGCTAGGCAGAGCAAATTAATAATATAATGAACCATCTTGTATTTTCTAAATGGCTCCCCATCGCATTGGGTTGCTTTGTTACAATGAATAAATACTCTAATGCTGCTCTCCTGCTCTGTAGTTGACTACAGTCTTATGCAAGATTTAAAAAAAAAAGTGATTATTGGTACATTGATATGATAATAAAAATGTTGATCCATTACTTTATAATACACCATGAATATAATCACTCTTGCTATGTTTGCAAACTGAAAAATGGGTCATGGGCCTTCTCACTCTATCCCTCTGCCCTTCATTTCCAACTTCTCTCTCTCTGTAATAGGAAATATTACATTTTTATTAAAAAAAAATGGAAACAACGACCTGTCTGTTTTAAAGCCTTGAGGTTGTGTCCTCATGTGTTAATCTGGTTCCCAACTGTGTTACTAAATTAATAAACTCTGTCATAGTAACGTCATTCTTTCATCACTTCATCTGTTTAGTCATCCCGGTTGTCATGATTTTGTACTGTAAACAATGAATTATTGAAAAGTGGATATATGTAGATTTATAAAAACTCTCAGCATGTTACTTTTCTGCTATAGCTAAATCAGAATTGAACAAAAGTTCAACAAGTTAACATAAATTGTTATACATGATATTATTAATTTGACTTTTAAATAACACAATGCAGTTTATTAAAACAAAGAAAAATATGAATTCTTTGTCATGTTTCAATGCCTAATGTTAGATCTGAAAGCAAATCCCCCAGTAAATTGAGGTTTGGGCACTCAGTTGCTCTACAGCAGGTGGCAGCACATGCCTAATGCAAACCTACCTAAAACATTGCTAATTATGAGGACTGGACGTAAAATCAAAACCACAGTTATTACAACTTCCCTCAAGCGCCTAACATATTACCATTACCAACTAAAATACCATATTAGCAAAGGCCATAAGTGAACATAAATGAAGTTTAGGAATGCAAAGCAATAATGCAAATAAAGGTGTAGCTAATGCTCTTGACAACCTCAGCTACGTATCTGTTATGTATTATTTAAGTGAGAGCTTTGAGCTTTTACAAGATAACTCATTAGAATAATTGAATATTTGTTTCCGTTTATTCAGCGAAGCCCTGATTCCACCAATCAGATCGCAGCGCTCCAAACTTCCCACCAATCAGAGAAGCTCCTGTAACTTCCATGAGCAGCTCGCGCCTGTCGCTCTGTTTTGATGCGCTGTCTGTCTGTAGGTGGTGAAGCCTCGATGGGGACACTTTTGTTTTTATGCTAATATTTTCTTTTACAAACTGCGGCGCTTTTGTCAACGCTCAGGTTTATATTGGGGGGAATGATGACAACATGTATCTGGTTGAGGAAGCTGCCGTGTTCCTGAAGAGCCTCTTGAGATCGTCTAAGCCTCTGCTATGAGTTGTTTGGATGTTATGTATCATCAGAGTTATGGAGCTCATCACTACTTGCCCGCGACATCAGCAGCAGCGGCGGCTTACAAAGCGGCATATCACCATCACCAATTGATATCGTATCGTATCTTGACGAATCATCCGATTTACACCCCTAATATATATATATATATATATATATATATACATATAGTCAAACCAAAAATTATTCAGATGCCAGATATGTTTTTACTAGTGGGTGCAGGACGCTTAGTTAATTTATGTAAGTGAGGATAGCAAAATAAAGTAAACTGTGACATATTATACCAAAAATTCTTCATACAGTGGACTAGCAGTAAAATTGATTCAAATTTGGGACCAAAATTATTCAGACACTTTGACCATGTTTTGCTTTTTTCTTTAATAGCTAATGCGAACTTTTTGCACCCCAGACTGAACAAAATGAAGCATTGCTTGGCCATACCTTTCAATCAGTTATCTGACATTATCAAGCTGAATTTGTTCTGACACAGTGTAACTCTGAGTTCTTGTCATATTTTATTACCGTTTTCTAAACTATAGCGAATAAACTGTGATAATGTGAGAAACGTTGAAGGTGTCTGAATACATTTTGGTTTGACTGTATCTAAACATATCTATTTAATGAAGTTGAAGTTGCAGTCAACAAGTGTTTCGACCCTGTTTAAAAACATCAAGATGCAGTTCATGAAGCATATTTTCTTTAACATTTTAGGGTTACACTTTATTTTAAGGTGCCCCGTTACAGTGTAATTATGCATTTAAGTACTGTTTAATATTACTTAACTAGATGTACTTACTATATGGTTAGGGTTTGTCCTAAGGTTACTTGCATGTAATTATACATATTGTTATTTTTATAATAGTCAGTACATGTAACAAGGACGCCTTAAAATAAAGTGTTACCCATTTTAGTTATTCCTATACTTCCATTTGTAGATTTGATGATTTTATTGTTACTCTAAAAAGTGTAAAATAATAATAATGATATGAGAAGGTGTCCAGACTGATTTATTATCTAAATACTACTGTTATCAAATAAAACCGCATGACATTCGATATAGAATTCCTCAAATTCCATGCAGTGAATTACAGCTGAATGTGTTTATACAGTCTCTCGTACGGAAATCTTCTCGGGCGTAAATCAGCGTGCCACTGATGTGCCAAGTGTGGGAACAGGGCCATCGATTCAGACAATCTATTTTGGTCGAAGACCAGGTGGTGAATGTGTGCTCCGTCTATTAACCCCTGACCAGTTATTCTTCACATGTAACACTATCTGTGTCTTTCAGCAGAAGAAGTTCAGTGCCTACAGCAGGATGCAGGATTCTGAGGAGTTCCCCTCTGACTGTGGCCAGAGTAAGCAGTCTGGAGCGCTGAAGCCCCGTCCTGAGCCTGAGCTTCCACGAGAGGAGGAGCAGAGCGCTGGCGAAGAGGAGCGCTGCAAGGAGACGCAGCCCGCCGAGGCCGAGTACTTGAGTGCCAGGTGTGTGGTGTTCACCTATTTCCGTGGAGACATCGGGGATGTGGTGGACGAGCATTTCTCACGTGCCTTGAGCCAGCCCAGCGCCTTCAGCAATGATGCCAAGACCAGGAGACTTCACTCTGGAGGACCATGGAAAGGTAGAAGACAATCTACAATATTTGTAATCCTAAAATACAATAATAGTGCTTATAGATAAATGTAGTTATTAATTGAATTGAAACGGAATCATTTTATACAGTTCATTATCAAGCATTGTTACGTTCCAAATCTGTGGGTCAAATTGACAGATTAATGAATCTAGTCACTCTACTGACATTAATAGTTCTCACACATTACTCACCCTGCAGACACTGGCCTCTGGAGCAGCCATAGCCTCACGCAGACTGGCCTGCACCCTCCCTCTGCTCTCCCTGACTCTTGGCACTACGGCCTGGGAGCGCAGGGTGGAGCGGGATACCCTCACGTACACGAGATGTACCCTCACATGCACCCCCGTCACCCACACCCACACTCTCATGCCCACGCCCACCACGTGCTCCATCACGCCCACAACCCCGCTCTGGACCCGCGCTTCAGCCCGCTTCTGCTGCCCGGTGTGAGAGCGTCTTGCAGCCCGACGTCCTGCGCAGACAGAATCAAAACTGAGCTGGAACCGAGTAGCATCCCAGCACCAAGCTGGCCCGCTTCTTTTCATGGGTCAGTGGACATCTATCATGATACAGGTGAGACAAGATGAGGGAATCTGTACACTTCTGCAGCATGGGTGTATATGCAGTGTTATGGGTTGTGTAAATTTTTCAAAGGTTTTGGGTCAGTAAGACTAATATAAGTATTAAACATTTATTATTATTATTAATGCCAGTTGTGCTGCTTAATATTTTTGTGGAAACCATTATACATTTTTCAGGATTATATAATGAACATAAAGTTCAAATAAACAATGGCTGCAGGTAACAGCTCTAATATCTGAAGTCTGCAGATCACAAACAAATCCAGTGCAAACTTAGTCTCAATGCTGCATATTGGTATTTTCTTGTAAAACGTTTTCTTTACATTTTCTTTTTTTTTTTACAGCGCAGTCTTTTGCTTATCTGTTTTCACAATTAAAAATATGAATATATAAAATATACAAATAACAAAACATTTTACATGTGTCATATGAAATTTATTTATTTACTCATTTGAATGAATGCATGAATGATTTCAATTTTTGCCGTTTCATTTGCAAGGCATACAAACAAATACATAACCAGCAAAGGTAAAATATAGAGAACACAATTTCACAGTTCTGGCAAGTTATCTGCTCATTATTTTTGTTGAACCATTTCATATATGTGACCTTGAACCACAGAACCACTCATAAGGGTCAATTTTTTAGAAATTGAGATTTATACATAATCTGAAAGCTGAATAATTAAGCTTTCCATTGATGTATGGTCCGTTAGGATAGAACAATATTTGGCCGATTTGAAATCTGGAATCTGAGGGTGCAAAAAAATGAAAATATTGAGAAAATCGCCTTTAAAGTTGTCCAAATGAAGTTCTTAGCAATGTATATTACTAATCAAAAATTAAGTTTTGATATATTTACAGTAGGAAATTTACTAAATATCTTCATGGAACATGATCTTTACTTAATATCCCAATGATTTTTGGCATAAAAGAAAAATTTATAATTTTGACCCATACAATGTATTGTTGGCTACTGCTACAAATATAACCCAGCGACTTAAGACTGGTTTTGTGCTCCAGGGTCACATATTTTGACCTCTCTATTTAGTTGGTTACAGTTTACTTTTCGAATATACTAATAATATTTAGGGTTGACGTGCATGGTTAAAAGATACATATAAACAAATAATTTACATGAAATTGGAAATGAAATCGTTGAAAAGGGTATTTATTTATTTACTTTTCCTTTTTTTTATCTGTTTGTCATGAGGTACCAAAAACATCATAATCTATTTCAGCTAAATCTTGTAAAGTCCTCAGCACTTCTCAGATGGGCGTCTGTGCTCGGGACTAAGAGGTGAAGATGGCTCTTGCTGTCTCAGCGGTGTACGAGAAGCTGAGTTTGTTCATGGGCTGCTCCACAGGCTCTGCCCCTCCTTCAGGAAACCGTGCATTGGAGAGACAGAGCCCCTGCCTGCAGGAGCATCAGACAGCAGCCCTCACATTAGCATGGGATGCCCTTCTATGCTAATTCCTGTCAGCTCTCCACGGCACCCCTCCGGGATGCTACAGCCACTTCAAACCAGGCCACTGATACAGGACAGGGTCTAATCCAACTTAAACAAAAATATAACTTTATGTGATGAACTTTAACGACACCTGTGTGAACTTGAGGAGAACTGACGTCACACATCCACTAAAAATCACCAAAATACCAGATTAAAATGAATTAATTGAGTTTAGAGGAAATGCTATTTGTTTGCAGGTCATATATTTTGTTGTCTAATGCACTGATTTGCATTTTAAGAGTGTCATGTCCATATGTCCGAATAAGTTTTGGGGTCACTATATGTAATTGATATTCATGACATTTGTAGAAATGAATATAAAATAATTGACTACTTTAAGTCAAAATTAATCTAATCATATACCCAAGACACTCTTAAAAAGACCTTTTTTGTTCCATACACTGTAAAAAATGACTTTTACAGTAAAAGACTGTAAAAATGCTACAGTAAAAATCTGTTAATTGGTTAACAGTAAGTTTCCATAATATATTCGGTGAATAAATGTAATTGCATTTAACGTAATTCTACAGTAAAATACTGTTAAAAATACGGTTTTTGGAAGTGAAAAAGAAAAAGTCATTGTATAATTTACAGTGAAAAAACGTAAATTGATACTAATTCCCTGCATGACACTTCATATTTTATGTTTTTTGTTGAAATAAAATGTTTTTTTTTTATCAGTTGTGTACATTAAGGTTTAATCTTACATCTAATGTTGTTAAATGAATGTTTATTGCATTATTTCAGTATCATGTGTGTCGCCATGATGGGGTTTAGTGTTAGTGTGAATGACACTGTGCCCCTTCTATATATATATATAAACTATATGAAGATGGTTCATCCATACTGCATTTAAAAATGTCAACAAAAGATTGTGTGTTGGAATGCATGAATTATATATTATATATAGTGGAGTTAAAGAGTCACATTCTTGGATGCATATCTAATAATAGTGTTTTGGAGATTAATGAGATGATTTCAGCTGAAGTGATTTTACAGAACTCTATTACTGTGTCCTTAGTCCTTATAGAGTAAGGGTTAATAATCACACTCAAGGGAACAATGGTCAAGAATTACCTCTTTTGGGCTTTGAACCTACAACTTTCCAGTTGCCTGCACCAGTTTTTAACCTTATGGGAACTTGACAAATAAACAATAAACAATTCAGTAACACTTTATTTTAATAGTCCATTTAAGATTCTTCTAACTATAAGCAACTACATGTCAACTACCAGTCATTAGAGTATTAGTAGACTTGACATTTCTAAAGCGGACTATCAAAATAAAGTGTAACAATAATTTCTTGGAAAATACTTTTAATGACTTTTCACAGCCCTGTAGTAAACCTCAGTATTGGTAACAGCATATTTAATTTCTGACAGGAATGAAAATGAGGCTGTGAGGGATAGAAGTACAGTTTGTCCAATCAATGGTTCTGTTGTTTAACATACTGACACAATGCAAAATATGTATCTTTAACTGTACATTGTCATGAATAAAAAGTCAGTATCTACACTAATCTTACGGTTGATTGAGAGCTGTATGTATTGGAGTCACTAAAAGAGCCGATTTGTTAGTCAGTGGATTTAAGTCATTGGATCAGAAATCAGACTAGCTGGTTGCACCGATATATTATTGATTATTTACAAAGAACTGACTCATAAGAGACATTCGTTTGGGATTTACAACATTAGTTGTGCTGAATGTTTTCAGTTCACTAAAACTCAAAAGAATCGTTTGAGAATCAGGCCACACTGGTCATACTGTCTGTTTTGCACTGTAGATTAAGTGGTAAACTCTGTCAGAGTAGTTTAGCATGGTACTCGAAGAAACTTAATGGAACCAAATATCATTTGTTTCTGATATTTTTTCTCGATTCCCATCCATGACTGTACGCTGTCGCTACATGAGTGCCTGGACTGCTCTAAAACATTTTAATGAAATAGCCTGCATTAAGAGCAAACAGCCCCTTGAAATTATTTTAAAGCTGAATAAACTAATAGCAAGTAACCATCTTGACCCCAGTCTAAACAAGATCTCATTTAGGTCTACAAATCTTATATTCTCTAGGATGCACAAAGGCAGATGAGAAAATTGAAAAAATTTAATCTAGTACAATAATCAGTTATATCTCAAGTATATGAAGACCAATAAGAGTACATTCAGTAAACAAACTGGCTACATTTAGTGAAATCCACAGTAATTAAATCACAGACCTGGCAGCTGTGACCCAACTTGAACACAAGAGGAACATACTGGAAAGAAGAGTATGAGGGAGCCTGAAGGAGGTATCGGGCTGCAGACAGGTTCTCCACCCCTCACATTCTGCATTCTCACCAGGACACAGAAAACACTATTCTCATTCCCTTCCTCTGGGACCCTTCCTAACTTTCGTGCTATGGTGGAAATACTATTGTTCAGAACGAACACTTCGAGAGGTCCGAATCAATTCAGTGTAAACACAAGAGGCTCCACATTTAATTGGTTCATATCATATTTTTCCACTTAGATCCACTTATAATGTTAGTCGAGTTTCTTAGTGCCACAAAAAGTCATTCTTTAGTTTTAACCATAACCATTTTCCACCTTTTCTCTAAAACTGAATTGAACAGTTCTTAATAAAACATCCTGTTTGCATGTTAAATGGTCAACTGCATGCTTTCTGAGCAATTTCTGCTCACAGAAAAGCTTCAGGTTTGTCATTAAATATAGCTGTAACAGCCCCATCCTTCAATACACTGCAACATATTCTACTGTACATTGTGGCATATTCACAAAAAAGTCTGCTGAAATGTGTTTCTGTAGGTCAAACTGCGGAGAATGGTGCTGGTACAAGGTTATGGGTTCAATTCCCAGGAAATGCATGAGTTAATTAAAGCCATTGTATAGATATGATGTTGCTAAAAAGAACATTATTTTGTGTATTTGGTGTAATGAAATGTGTTTATGCGGTTTAAGGTAAAAAAAACACATTATTTTCCACATACTGTACATTATTGTTTCTCCTCTATGCCCCGCCTTTCTGAAACGCATCGATTTTTACAATCTCATCGGTCTGAAAAGCGAGGTGTGCTCTGATTGGCCAGCTATCCAGTGCATACACGCGTCTTTACAACATGGCGGCAGCGGCAGTAACAATACTACAGCAAGAAATAAAATTACGCCTTTCTTTGCGTGAACATTTGGACGGCATTATGCAAATCTTCCCACATCATGACGTAGACATGTGGGGGCGTGTTAGAACGAGACGTTTTAGGTAGGGTTGGTTGACTCTTAACTTTTATAAAGAATATCTCTTTGGATTTGGGACTTTAGTCTTTGCAACTTTACAGATCTTCTTTATGCACCAAGAGCTTGTAACACTCCAAAGAGAAAGGAACAATTGAAATCGCATCATATGACCCCTTTAACAAATCTTGCTCTGGAAAAGCATGGTGAATGAGTCTTTCACAAAAAAAAAAACGTTTATTAACATTTTATATACTTCTCATTCTAGCAGATTTAAAATGCCTGACCAGCCCAAAACATGTTATTCAAAACCCTATCCATCTTATCCTTGTCGCAAGTGTGAATG